GCTGTGACAGGACAAGGGGTAATGGTTTTAAACTAAAACAGGGTAGGTTTAAACTGGATATAAGAAAGAAATTCTTTACGATGAGGGTGGTGAAACACTGGCACAGGTTGCCCAGAGAGGTGGTGGAAGCCCCATCCCTGGAAACATTCAAGGCCAGGTTGGATGGGGCTCTGAGCAACCTGATCTGGTTAAAGGTGTCCCTGCTCCCTGCAGGGGGGTTGGGCTAGATGACCTCTAAAGGTGCCTTCCAACCCAAAGCATTCCATGATTCTATGATTCTATGATACTGCTTCATTAAGAAGCAAGCCATAATCACCGTGCTCATTTCTCACCTTGGCAAGAAGCAAAGGGGCAATGGCAGAGTTAGACCAGCACTGAATGCTTTCGACCCCCTGCACACGCAGGCACCCACATGCACACCGGATGCACTGCCCTTCCCCGCAGTCCATCTCTGCCGCCCATAGCTGCGACGAGTGCTCTGGTGCGAGGCGAAGGTATTCTGCAGCAGGCAGATATGAGTCATCTCACCTGCTGAAATGTCTTCCCAGCGTCGAGTCACGCAAGCCCTGAGACAGGAAGGTCTGGGTCCCCATCAATTTTGGGCATTATAAAGCCAACACGAAAAATCTGGCAGGTGGAGCTCATGCTGGCACCTCATTTTTAACTCCTCTGAACGGTCCTGGTCTTCTTGGCACCTAGGCTACATGTTCTTTTTAATGGGGCTTTCATAAACCTTGTTCCAGGAATGAAAACAGCTGCCAGCGCATGCAGCACCCCAGGGAAGACCCTTGCCTTTTTCCAGAGCACATGCACGGAGCAGGGCTCTCCAGCTGCTTTGTGTGCTTGATGTGAAGCTGTGATGTTTGCGAGGGACTGAAGCATGAACTGCCCCGCTAACGCTAGCAGGTGTGAGTAACAAAGGCAAAGGAGGGAAAGGCTGATAATCAAAGAAAAATAAAATAGCAAAAAGATAAACCCTCCTGAGCAGGCAGTGTGAGAAAGTATTAATGGTTAACTCTCTCTCATTGTGGAGTAGGAGGAAAAAATGCAATTGCAAAGGGAAAGGAAGTTTACCTTGCAAAGCAAATTTGTCATTCACTCTGCCAGATTATCATTGTTATTATTTGCTCTTCACTCTTTGAATAACAAAGAGAAAGCATGCAAACGACCCTCAGCTACAGGCATAACCCTCTCCCCGCAACCTCCCTGCCTGCGTCCTTGCACACACAAAAAAGAGGATGCTAAACACAGCCTTTGAAATTCAGGAGGATAATTGATTCTCTGACGCGTGGAAGCCCACAGGACTCCTGAGGGAGCACAGGTATAAAAAGAGGAGATGCACCTCCCTGGCAGCCAGAGGACAGCTGGGGGGAGATCCAAGAGTGTCCTCGCTGCTCAGCACCGTCCTGGGTCCTGCCCAGGCACCGCGCGGAGGGACAGACCCAGCAGGGCTCACAGAAGCAGCTCACAGAAGAAGTTGTTGTATTCGCAACAGGGGAAGGAAACACCTGAGCAGGAGCCGATCTAGGACGAGCTTGTTTTCCAAGGGAACAGTAAGTGTGAGTCTCTGCATGTCCGTTTAACAAGATAACATCTATTTGGAAATTGGAGACAATTAAAGTACACTGAAATGCAATCAAAGCTGGCATCAGTAATTAGCTTTGCCAGGTACAATATCCTTTGTACCAAGCAAGATTTTTTGTACCAAGTTATAGAATGAAACAGTAATTGAACGATAGGATAAGTGCAAATCAATAGAATACTACTATAGAAGAGCCTTGTAAAAACATGCTGACCGTTTACTAGCGGTAGCACAGTTTTCCTCTTTTGCTATACTGATGCGAGCTCCTTCCTGGAAAATGAACGCTGTTTTACTCACCCATCAATAAAACTGTGTTTGAGCCAAACCAAAGTGTGAGGAGAAATGCAACGGTGTGTTAGGGATAACGCGAAGCCAGGTACAGCGAGGCAGAGTAAGGCACTTAAAAGGATTTCTGCTTTTCTAATGTATAAAAGTCTGAACTTTATAAAACCGCAGGCACAGTAAAAGCTTCATTTCATCTACACAGTGGTATTTTTAAGACTGATCAGGTTAAGGTTTCAGAAACAGTAAGAAATAGTTACCCCACCTCTCCAACACCATTGTCACAATGCTGCTGTCAGCGTTGCGCAGGATGGAATGAAGCTATTACACTTTATCTGCTGGAATGGTGCTAAAAGCTCTTCATCTTAAGGGGCATTTATTTATTAATAATTTTTTCACATGCTGCCAGAATGGAAAGTAAGGTATCCCTCATGTCAGGAGAATTTTGAAGGTGACAAGGTTTTGCAGAGCCGTCATGCTGCCTGTATGCAGGGTGACACTTAAATTCCCTGGCTTCTCTGAAATAGCAGACACTTTGGGGAAGGGGTGTAGGACTTTCATTTCAGGCTCCTTCCTAAGCTAAAAAAGGAGTCAGAAATACCCAAGAAGCAGACTGTAGCAAAGGGAGGGAAGACAAAGCAAGATGGGGAAGAAAAGCAAAACCAGAAACTAAAAAAAAAGAAAAAAAATATCACAGAGAAACGAAGAGAAGAGAAGAGAAGAGAAGAGAAGAGAAGAGAAGAGAAGAGAAGAGAAGAGAAGAGAAGAGAAAAAAAATCTCAAAGGGACAAAAAAGTTATTCTGGAGGAAAACCTGGCACTCAAAGAAGAGAAACCAGATACAGAAAGAAAGTGGTAATCAGGGCTGCATCCTAGGAAGAAAAAAGGGAAGCAGACAACATTGGACTGGGTTTTCTTTTAATTTACATTGACATTTCACTTCTCAGCTCACATAGCAGCTTTGCTGGTACTGATTAAATCTCTCTCCTGGTTGGCACTTTCTACAGATGCTGGTGCCACAGTCTCCCGGCACCCCCCGGCAGATGCCTTAGATCATTTCTATCTAGAAAGAGATCTGATCTGGGATTTGTCTTGGAGATACTTAGGCGAGAGGGGCACAAAAGAGGTATGCTTTTTTACGTTCAAATGAAAAACAAACAAAAAAAAAGAGCAGGAAATTTGCCCTAAAGCCAGGAGCCCTGTAAGTCTGTCTCCTAAGTAATTTTTTTGCTGCTTCTGAGCATTCCTTGGCTCCCTGAGGGGCCAGAGTGGTGCTGTAAGAGACCAGGTATCGGAGGTAGGGGATGTCACCCATGTGTTTGCAAGAAGCTCTGCTGGAGCCAGGAGCAACAGCGCTGCGCCCAGGGGAGCAGATGGGGAAGCTGCCGGTCCCCCGGCTGGAAGCACGAGCAGCTGGAAACAGACTGGGCTGAGAATGAGTTTGTGATAAAAAGCCCCATTTCTTAGTGCACCACCTTGCCCACGTCTGTCCGTGCGCTTCTGACACTGCCACTAATTCTGTTATTAACTTCCATGGGATCAAGATTGGACCCACTTGCATAAGCACCTTAATTAGCCTTCTCCCCTTTCAGAAGAGCGGACAGCTATGTCCGAGCAGAAGAACAGAGCTCGCTGCTGCCATTTCCCATCAGAACGGGCCCCCTCCTGCCATCACCATCAGTAAAATCCACCGCGTGCAAAGTTCGCCTAGGAAATTAGAAGGCCAACTAAGCCCATTTGGAAACTGTTCTTTTTGCAATAAAGTATTGTTATATATTTGAAAGGGGTTTTTTAAAAAAAAATTCTAACATGTTTTTTTCTCTTATGGAGATCAAACATCTTTCTGCTCTTTTCTTGTGTAAAGTAAGACAGGGAATAGGGAAACTCGATATTTTAAAGATTTCTATCCACATTCTTAAAGAATCTTTTTTGAGCAAAAGATCAATCACTTTCAGTCAAAACTCTGGAATAGCATTCACTGAAATACCTTCTGACTGTCTCTCGCTTCCAATGACAAAAGCATCGCACTCGGCTCCAGAGGGTGTGCGACCTCAGACGACTCTGTCCCAAATCATCAGCAGCACGTCAGCCAGCCCCAGGACACGGAGTACCGCAGGCATCTGTCGGAGGGCAGATGCACACCAGGTCCACCTCGCCTCCCGTCTGTCAGAGGGCAGACACAAGCCAGGTCCACCTCACCTTCCACAGGGTGCTCAGAGCTGCGTAGGCGCCTGGCTGAGCGGCACGAGGGCTCCTCTCCACACAGCAGCAGTTCAGCTCACCCAAAGGGACCTATTTTGGTCCAGTCACCCCTCTCCCCAAACACACTGACTAAAGGAGTGTTTTGTTTAGGCTAATCAAGCTCAGTGCTGTTGCCTCTCGTGAACGGGTTTGCCAGGGTTACCTCCGGGCTGATATTACCCCTTTGCCCAGGAATTTTATTTGGATTTTCCTGTTTCTCCCCAAACCTAAACGATTCTATGATTCTATTTAGGAACATGGTTTAGTGGTGGGATGGCAGGGTTAGGTTAATGGTTGGACTTGATCTTAAAGGTCTTTTCTAACCTAAACGATTCTATGATTCTATGGTCAGCCAGCAAGGCAGCCCAGTGGCTGTTACACACAGACCCGTGCCACATGAGCAGACACGCGTCCCCAGGAGAGCAGAGGGCAGGAAGGCTCCAGGGGGCTGGTCACAGATGGTCCCGTGCAGGCAGTGCCACTGCTTTTGGCAGCCCCTGCTAAGTGCTGCCCTCCAGCTTCCCTGTGCGCTTGCACTGGTATTTACAGGCTGTGTAATGGTCCCCGGGGCTTGGCCCAGCCCGAGAGCTCTCCTTCAGCCACAGTGGGGGGACGGGTCTAAGGGGGTCCCACAGCATGAAACCCTGCTGACCAGCCCTGCCTCCCCGAGGGGTCACACACAGCCACTGCCTCCAGGAGTTGCATACCCTAGCAAAGACTTTGCCATGTCAAAACATCTCTGCATTGGGAAACGCCATAACCACAAACGTTTCCAGTCACTTTGTGCCAATAAGTGAGCAGGGGGAACCGAGAACACAAAGATGGCACTTGGCCTCCCCTCCTGGCCCTGAGCATCTCACTGCCACTGACTCAGACTGCTCTGCTTTTCAGGTGACCCCAAAGGGTGGAAGATGCTGGGCAAGGCCACCCTGCTCCTGTTCCTGCATTTAGTCACGTGCTCCATCTCCTCTCCTCTCTACCCAGCTCTCAGGTAACCTGCCGAGTGTTTTATCCACACTGTCACTCCTCTGACCTTGTGCAAAATAAGCACATGCCAAATTAAGGTTGCCAGCACTTCTGAAAGCCAGATGAACTGCACGTGCATTGGTAAACCTATTTCTTTACCTTGTCTTAATTTTTTGGGAACACTGCTAGCCTAGGGGCAGCTTCCAAAGAAGGCAGGCACCTGACATGGAATATTTCAGCCCAAGCAGTTGGTTTTGGAATTGAATGCTGGGTCCTATAAAGGGAAATCTGGCAATCTCCAAGAGCAGCCAGCACCTCCAGCTCCATCGCTGATTAAAATTTGTGCCTGCAGGCCACCTGCATTGAAATCAGAACTGCAGATATTCTAGTACATGAACTCAACAGCTGCCTATTAATATTTCAAGTATTTCCTTGTCGACTGTTAGAAGTTGTAATATTACTTCTACTACAAATTGATGGAAGCACAAAGTTGAGTATCAGGTTCTATAATGTGGATTTGCAATGCCCCATAGAAAATGCTTTAGCCTTGTGCCAAAGCCATGGCATAATGATACCAGAATTGCTGGAATTTTGCTCAAGGATGGTGGGAACTCAACGAGGGGGAAACTGTGTTTGGGGCAGCTTTATCCACCATCTCTTCACTGCTGAAATAGCTTCAGGGCAGTTTCTAGCTGGGGAGAGTGACAGACAACACTTGTCTTACTGATGAGGATGGCAAAAGGAGAAAGAAAAAGCCAGAGACCTGGGAGTAGTGGTCAAGAAGACTGATCCCCGACTGGCAATTGAGCACGTCTCGCGGTATGCCTTGGGTTTGTCTTGCAGGTACAGTCCAGAGCCAGTTACTAGCAAGGCCGTGAACTTCCAGCTACAGCACAGCAGCCCACTGCAGAGCCATAACCTCTCGGCGGAGGAACAGGAGGAGGAGGGTTTGTTAACAGATCCCACTGAGAAAAGGTTTGTACCCCACCTCTCAGCCCTGCTGCAGTAAGAGTACGCTGACTACGACCTTCCCACAGCCTGGGAACAGACCAGCAGGTCACTGGTCCCACCAGCACCACAAACTCCAGGCTACTGGAGGACAACCCAGCTGAGCCCTGCAACCAGAGCAGAAGGCTGGGACCAGCCAGCTCTCACCATCCCCAGTGTCATCTCCTGCTGTCCCCCAGCAGCAGGGACGTACCAACAAGGGCAGGGTCACAGGCACAGCAGTCCTACAGGGAATATAATTTTCCACTGAGCTCTGGGAATCATCTGTACGGTTGTTAGAGCTTCTCCTTTCCACCCCTGCCAGGAGATTGGAGGATGCTTATTTCTGTTTGAAGCACAGAAGATTCATCCTTACAACAGTGGGGACCAGCCAAGGGGCTTGTGCTTCCCTTACCTGTGGATTTTCGGGAGTCTGGGTCTAACCATGGGTCAGAGACCTGCTGAAGGCTCCTGCCACCCTGTCCCAGACACAGCCCTCCCAGGAGGTGATGGTGCTGCTGTACAGCACAGGAATGTCCCAGCCCCAGCTCTGCGCCCTCCCAGCCTGTGGTGCTCCTCCTCCTTTCCACTGGTTCTCTGACCTCACCTTTGGTTTGCAGGCTCTTCTACTTGTTTTACTGCAGATCCTGATTAACACACATTTTACTTTGCCACTGCCTCCCTGTCAGGACTGAGCTCCCTCAAATTCATTTACCCCTCAACACTAACGCAGACCAATAAATGCCAAAAGGCGTTTGCTATGGTTACCTGCTCCTGATCTCAGCAGGGCTACATCTGGTGTATTTTGACATCTAAAACACCCATTTCTCACCTAGAAGGCTCATTGCTAGCTCAGAGAGCACACCTTGCACTTGTCTTTCACCCCTAGGATGCAACGCCACGCTGATGCCATATTCACCGACAACTACCGGAAATTCCTGGGGCAGATTTCCGCCCGCAAATTCTTACAGACCATCATTGGCAAGCGGCTTGGGTAAGCCACAGCGCTTTGCTGTCCTAGGGCTAGTATTTTGCTTATTACACTGGGCAGTCTCTCTCATGCACGTAGCAGAAATAGCTGCTTTCCACTGCAACAGAAGCAATCTCTCCTGCTGTTCCACATCCCGAAGGGCATCCTGCATCCCTGCATATCGGATCCCCCTAATCACAACTATCATTAAGCAGCCTAATTAATCCTTTCCTCCAAGGCTATTAGTGTCAGATCAGCTGAGAGCTCTACCATAATATCAACAAGCAATAATATTTGCAAATAATAGTTGCAATGATCAGTCACTGGTAGGAAACAGTTATCCCTGGCCTGGTTTGAACACATAAACCAGCCTCCCCACTACCACTTGGGTAGCTGTGGCTAGATAGATCAGTGACTGCAACCAAGTAACACCAACTAGTCAGACGTGAGCCAGTTCTGATCCCTCTCCTAACACAGGAGCAAATACAGCTGACCGATTTCTTACTGACGTGATGCAGAACGGCCCCAGACTCAGACCCAACAGGTTCCCTCGCTGTGCTGCTCAGCCTGGGCCAAACTTTGACTGAGGGACTAAAAAGCATCTCTGAGACAAAGATGTTTCTCATCTCTGCATAATAGAAGCAGTGAGAGCAGCCCAGGAGAAGGGGTGCACGAGTTTCTGACAAGGCGCCAGTCCGACAGCATCCTGATGGACAGCCGCTACCACCAACAGATGGTACTACGGGACTTCCTGGGAGCTGTTCTGCAGAATCAAAGGTAGGTGGGAATCAGTTCATTATCTGCTCACCGCAGGAATAAGACAAGGTCCTTATTGCTGTCTGGCTTCCAGATGTGAAGCTACTGGATTAAGTATCATCTTTCAGATACACTCAGAGAAAGAATAAAGCTCTTACCTGACCCCATAACCCAGCCCTCCCCTTACATGGGCAAGGAGAGTGCAGATAAGGAACAGCCTGTCCTGAGCCAGCCCGCACCACACACACTAGCACATAGCTGTGCTGTCTTCTCACCCTCATAATTCAGTAAAATAGCAGTGGAAAAAACCCAATTACTCTCTCAATCCCAATTACGCCATCACTGCCCTGTTCTCTTCTTTCACAGGCCTCAGGACATCAACAGCAGTCGGTTAGAAGGCTTTCCCAGCACCCTGGCTAAGCTCATGTAAATATTTCTCCCTTTTTCATCTCCCCATGCTCTGGTGAGTACCATTCCCTGCTCAATTCTGTACATAACATGCACTGCTCAAGCAGTTTGAAGGCTCTCCTTCAGCAAAGCCAACTCCCACTACTGTCCATGGGTGCTTGCTGCAGTTTAAGGGGAAAAAAATTCCCAATCAGTTTTGTCAAGTACCTAAAGTCCCATTAGTCTGAACCGATGGACCATAGGTGTTGCAAAACCGCATGTGGATGTCTAGGAACAGGCTTGCAGCGACCAAGAGCAGCCTTGTAAAGCTATCTGAGACTGTGTGCCCGAGTGTCTAAGCTAGGCTAAAGGCAGACAAGTCTTCCTCCAGGAGCAAAACCTGCCTCTAGATCCCTGGGACGTTGCAGGTTTTCCCTGCACTGAATAGGAGAAGAAGTCTTACTGTTTGCTGTACCCCTCGCTCCTGAAAGCGATCACCTGGAACTTGAATTATGCTCTAAATCTTGCCAGCCCTGGGGAACTGAGAGCCAGCAGACAGTCCATCCTTGGGAATACCTTCATCCGTAGAAATGTCAGTTGTCCTGATTGAAGCAACCTCATCTTACTCCTCTGTCCCATAGAAATTAAACCTGTCCAACCCTTGCCAGCACAATATAAAGGGGTGTGGAGAGACCTGTGTGCATACTAAACAAAAAGGGAGCTGGGGAAGGAGGGGGGAGATCAGAACTTTACATAAAATTGTGCCTATGGATTCAGCTGGGAGACCATGGCATTTCAGCATCTCTCTTGCCTTGCTTGACTTGGTTACCTTTCCACAAATAAGGTCAGCCAGGAAAAGCCTCCAAAGAATGAAACTTCTGTGTGTGCTCACAAATTTTTCTCATAATTCTCTTTTCCTCCTGCTTCTGTCTAGAATAATTCAGAGCTCGTGGATCTAACTGTACAGTAAGTCCTGCACAGCAATGAGGACACTCCCGGATGTGACCAGCTGGAAACTGATGCATATGCTCCTCAGATCTGTTTAAAGGAATGCAGTTCTGATGCACTACTTAATTTACTTCAGTCTTTACAGTTTAACTCCCCTCTCTAAATACTGGTCTGTGTGCTGAATCGGAAAAAAAAATACCTCTGTGGTTTAACCTCAGGCTGCTTTACATGCAAAGACTAAAACAACCAGTACACTTGTAATCCTGGGGACATATTGTCTACTAATTAAGGCTTTCAAATCACAAAGCGTAGCAAAAATTCTGCCAAGTCATCATTCTGTTTGAGGGCCTGATTAATAAGCATGAGGCCACCAAAAGGCACCTTTAGGCAACTTAGTAAATTGATTACAGCCTCCTCTAAATAGATGCCGATGGCACAACCACACACGCAGCTCGGATCAGGGCAAGGTAAGACACGAATCTACACGTCTACCACCCATTAGAAATGCCGCTGTGGTCTGCCGCTGTCTAGCTCCTTGATGCAGAGCCCCGGCAGCAAAACTGAACTCTAAAAAGCTCAGCCACAGTTACTGCTCAGCCTTGAGGCGTTCAAGCTGAAGCTACAGCTCTGCAAGACTTAAAGGAGATCCCTGTGCATCAGGTTGGGCTGTCACTGTGTTTTAGTTCAATGTGCCATCCAGTGGCTCCGAACTCCACCGTGGCTAGGGTTACAACTGTAAATGCTCTCAAAAATTAAGTTATTAACCCAGTGATCTCACACAGCTACTTCCTTCCCTGTCACCCTAATTCTCCTATTGTTTCTGTAATAATTATGTCTTCAGAAATGTAAATAACATCAGGATGGGGTCTGCTTTCCCATCATTAGCAGGAAATAAAAGTTGTTCTAAATAAACCTGTCCAACAGCAGGTCAAGATGGCTCTTTGTCTGTGGAGATGTTAGTTTCTTGATTCTGGGCCCAGAATGGAAGAGGTCACTCAAAGACAGCAGTCCAGTGCACCGAGGATGACTCGGAGCTGTGCTAACGAAGGCACCAGATCCAGGCCAGGCTGGAAATACAGTGGCATGCAAACATATATTAAGGCCTCTGAAATCATCCCTCCTTGTACCTGAACAATTCCTTGATAGTCCGCAGTAGACGCCATCTCATTTTTCCACAGGTGACCGTGTTTTAGGACAGCAGGCTCCAGCACGCATGGAAATGACTTCATACATGCACCAAATCCCTACAGATTACATTCTCCCTGTTCAGGTTTTACAGTTCTAGCACTATGAAAATATTACTAACTGCCCAGCAGGATGGGAAGCAACAAAGGGATGTTGAAGGAGATCGGTGAAGCTGTGACAGCAGCAAGTATGCCAACGGATAACCTGTTGCCCTCCCACAGGCAGGCAGCTGGCACAGCGAGACATAACTCACCCTTCTGCTTCACGGTACAGCTGGGCAGAGAACCCGCAAAAGAAAAAACCTCAGCAGGCCTGGCTCAAAATGTGTTTGTAAACCTGTTCTGTAACAACAAACACACTTGAAGCCATTAGGGCTTACTTGCTCCAAGGAAAGGAATTACAAAAATGAATCTGCTTCCTAAAGTAGTAAGTAGCAAAAAAATAAGGTGGCAAAAAATCAAAATTCTGTTAAATGGCATAAAAGCTATATGCAAACACTAGAATGAGTACTCCAAATAAAAATCAAAATTCCTATCAAAAATACTTTGGAGAGACCCAAGTCTGTATGATTAAACAACTGGGTGAGTGCAGCTATTTCGAATAAAAGGGACTCCTTTGAAAGTTCAGTTTCCATCAAAATGAAGCAACTCTGGGACGTAAGTGTAAAAACAAATAAAGCAAACCAAAAAATGTCTGAGGAATAAAAGGCCAGAAGAAGAGGAACAACCTTCCGTAACACATAGCCAAAGGAGGTAGAAAATCAATAGCAACAGGCACAGCTTAGAGAAGGTAGATCACAGTAGCATTCCATGATTTTCTTTTTGCATCTGTGCTCTCCTTGGATAATGTGCCAGAGCTCTGCAGGGAAAGTACTGGAAGATCTGCCCTAGCATGAAGCATGAGCAGAAAAGTTAGTTATAAACCAAAGTTGATCCATGAGCAGTAAGAAAATACGAGGCTCAAAAAGAACTCACCAGGGTGAAAAGGAATTCCAGGGTAAAATACTACAGAGAGTAGCTTAACTATTTCTTACTTAAGACTTCTTTAGTCCCAGAGGACATCAATGCAGCATGAGACCAGGTTTTTGAAGGAGCGCAGAGGAGGTTGAAGGAGTTAATTAAACCTCTATGGCATCCCGTATAACATTCACAATGATGAACAGGTAGGAACTATTACAAAGAACAGAAAGAGTGAGCTAAGTGTGAACAACTGCAGTGGGGAAGAGGCAAGACAGCTCCCATAAAGTGGAGTCATGTCTCACACATGTGAAATTCTTTGGAGAAATCAGCTCCCCACCCATTATCCACAGGCTTGCTGGTTGATACAATTTTCTTGGATCCCCAAACCACATTTGATAAATTCCTTTGCCAAAAGTGCTTTAAAGAAACTAGTCTGACATGGGACAAACAGGAGCCAACACACAGATGCAGGGGAGGGAGCAACTGTTAAAATTTCCCATGTGGAAGCTGCTCATCAGGAGGAGATTTTAGCCTTTGGTTATTACTATCAGCGTGTCCTTCACTAAAGCCCAAGTCTGCTGCCTCAGACTTGAAGGCAGTAATTAATGGAGAAATTAGAGCTCAGGTAACTCAAATATGGCCACAAGGCAACCAGCAGATTCCTGGCATTCGTTTTCATAGAACAGAGGCAGTAACTTCAAACTCTTATTTGGAGCAAAAGGGTTATTTCCAGAGGCTGGAAAGAAAGTGAACCCACTCAAGGGACCACCAAACCTGCCAGGGTCAGACACAGCCAGGCATACCAGCACCCCAGCTGGCTCCCCGCAAGGGCCAGGCCCCCAGGATTCCTCCAGCCCGAGCCCCGAGGGCCCGCAGCAACATGGCACAGCCCAGCCCTGCACCCTCCTGAAGTCATGAGCAGCCATGAGCAGAGAAATGCCGATGACAGCATCAAGTAAGGGACAGGCAGGAGTGGGAAGTCCCCCCCAATAAATGCGCTCCTCTGGGAAAGGACATGAAAGAACAGGAAGGTTTGCACAGCAATGACTCATACACACAATTACCCACCAGAAAAAAGCTCTTTTCATTCTCATGTGAGCCCAACTTCCCATCACAGTCTCCGAGACAGCCAAAAAAACAAAATTCAGGACCATTCTTTCCTCTTTATTCACAGATCATTTAGGATGAGGAGAGGGCACCTGGGGGAAAGGCAGAACTGTATTTTCTTTTTCCTCTTTTTCTACAGGAAATTCAAACATCCTGGGAGAAAAAGGGGGGAGGATCCAGGGAAGAAAGGATTTTCCAGATTCATATGAAAAGCACTCAAGTAGCATGAACACAACAACGAAAAATCAGTTTTTTAAAAAAAGTATAACTGGCACCCTTTTGACTTAATATAAAAAAAAAAATCGCTTCTGCCTTCCTTCTTCTGGTCTTTCAGTTATTTATTCACTTCTGTTCTGAAGGCATGTGCTTTGTTTTTCCCCATTTCTTCCATTCTTCTTGTACTAGTGTGTCCTGGAAAGAAAAATCCAAAAAAATTAACTCTTCCAGGGAACAAAGTACTTCCTTATACAGTAGAAGCATCCCCAAGACCCCTCATTCTCTCTCAAAGGAAGGTAGTTGGGTAAGCTTCTCAAACAGAACTTACTGGAATGATAAAACCAGTACTGTGGTGGAACAGGGGACTGTGTTCAAGGAGGATGGAAATGGTCAGACAAAATGAAGGTTAATTTCTGGTGCAAAAGGGATGAATGAGCCTTGTAAAATACAGAACTGAACAAAAAAGCAGGGCTGAACGCAAAGCCTGCAGGTACCTTAACTGCTCTTCTACCTTAAACAGGGCCAGTCTTGGAACTTGGAGTCAGTTGGTCCATGTAAACACAAAAAAAAGGATCTTCATGTCCCCAAGATGAAGTAATCTGATGCGGGCACAGCAGACCCATCTTTTTGGGGTCCTTTTCCCTTCAAGATGCCAGACACAGGCACAGCTATGGATGCCGAGCATGTGGCAGTCCAGCCCTAGAAGCTGGTAACGGATACAGTCTTAACTGACATATTTGGGGCATCAGAAAACTCAGCAATAAGGAAAAATGCTTGTGACTGCGCATGGCAGCAAAACCTAACATTGGATAATAAGCCATTTGCCTTTTTTTTTGGTTTTGTTTGTGAATAATAAGCTATTTGCAAGATCTTCCAGGATTACTCACAGCTCACAGGGAATTAAGGAGTTAAGATACCAGGCTGAGAAACAGAAAACATGCAAGCTGTGGAGAACACACTTGTGAGGCATTTGTTAACAGGCCACTAAGCAGCTGAAAACCACTGGC